TCTTAGTAATCCACTTTTTTTTGGGACAAATACTATACTGATTAAAACGAAAATCGTATGATCTGGTATCATAAAAAAAAAAATATCCATGTTTGACCCTTCGGATAAATTCACATGAACTGTTGTGATTGGCTCTCGAAAGCTCTGCACTAACAGATTATTGTATGAACGCTTCAAAAGCGATATTTTTTGTCCGATTTTCTGATCTTGTGTACTAGGCTTTAACCTTTATGTTCTAGACAGTGACAAGAAAGAACTTATCATTACATTAGTAAATATAGTTTTCAGGCCTAGACTGGAAGGCCTCTGACGGTGGGCAGAAGGCTGGATTCACTGCATTTTTGTAGGCTTTTGCATGCTCCAGGGTATTGGTCAGCCATACAATCACTTTTTAACTTTATCCAAATTCACTGCAGCTTAAACACATCCTGAAAGTTGCCTTTGAAATTTGGCCACCTCCCATCTGGCCATTGTATATAAACGGCCAGACGGTGGCAGTGCAGGGTCAGGTGGCCATTTATAAATGGCCCCCTGCTTGTGCGCACTCCCTGGATGTGCGCAGCACTGCGATCTGGTGCCCGCTGTGTCCTCCAGACACAGTGGAACACCGATCGTCGGACGGGACCTCTGTGCGACGTCCCGATCATGTGATCACTGATTGGCCAATCAGTGATCACATGCAGAGTAGTAAGCAAGATGTCACTTCTGACATCATTGCTTACTATGTGTGAAATCTGTGAATGATCACAGAGGTCACATGGTATAAGGCTATTCACAACAGCCTTGTACCATGGGACAAGCTGTGACCAATCACAGCTCACACAGTAGTTCTCAATGGCTGCAAAATGCAGCCAGAGAGAAGGAAAATTATTGCTTTTACAGCCTTTATGGGTGTAAAAGCAATCAGTGTAAAAAAAAAAAAAAAAAATCTTCACCCCCGACAAGTAGTACAGTGTCACCATGGTGACACTGTACTGCTAGGGTGACAGTATGTAAAAAAAAAAAAAAAAGATTAATAATATAAAAAAAAAAATATCTAAATTAAAAAAAGCTTAAAAATGTTAATTTTTGGTTATAAACTAATTTGGGCTATTTTTTTTTTTTTTTTTTTTAAAAAGATAATGGAATACATTTTGGCCAAGATTTATGATGAAATATTATTTATTTGCAAAATTTTATAAGAAAAACACTTTTTTTCAAAATTTTTGGACTTTTTCATTTGCATAGCAAAAAAGTAAAAATCCCAGTGGTGAATAAATACCACCAAAATAAAGCTTTATCTGTCTCAAAAAAATGCTAAAAAAATGCAAATGGATACAGTGTTGCATGACTGCGCAATTGCATGACCGCGCAAAGTGTGATAGCACTGAAAGCGGAAAATTGGCCTGGACAGGAAGGGGGTGAAAGTGTCCACGCATGAAGTGGTTAACAGTTACATGTTTCCATGGTGTTCTATTTTTCCAAGCTACCATATTGGATTCAGGAGCAGGCTGTAATTTCCTGATATTCACAGTCAGCCCATCTGCTAATTTACTGCTGCACCTACTGTGATCTATAGATTCTTTATAGAATGTACATGTAGGTGCCCCAGTACTTAGTAGGAGGGTGCTCCAGAAAAAATAAGATATTTACTATACAAAACAAACAGTAATTATATTCAACTCTTCAACCGGGAGGGGTGAGGACACATTAGAGAAAAAGTACAAAACCTGGTTAAAGACTTGCGCTAAAGTCTAACACAGCACAAAAGAAAATAAATTACCCTTGCATTTGCAGCCGCCCCCCCCCCCCCCCCACTGCATTAGGTTAACTTCTTGTTAAGTCTAGGGGCACAGAGATAAGGAGTAATACCTACATTATAGTTCACTCTTGTATACTACCTCCATCCATGTGACTGCTCCCTCAAAGCCTCTTCTCTAAGGCACCTTTCACACAGGTGATCAGGTCTGATCAGGTCCACCTGTCAGTTTTTCAGGCAAATCTGATCGGACCCTCCATTCAGCCCTATGGACCAGTGGGTGTAAATGGACTTGTGTCGGTTTACACCTGCCTACCTCCAATCCAATCTGGGCTGCTAAAATAAAATGGAAGGGGATCCAACTCACTCCTTCTAGGCAGATTGGATCAGAGGGAAGTTGGGTGTAAACAGATAGCAGGGTCCATTCACACTTGGCTGCCCATAGAGCAGAACAGGTTGTCGTCCACCTGCACTGGTCTGATGAACCGGGGATCAGTGGACAGATTCACTGCTGATCTAAATGGAGCCCACCCTGTGTGAAAGGGACCTAAGGTGCTTTCTACCTCCTCCAAGCATGATGCATTGTACATGGTGACACAGAGGGACTGCATACAATCTAGAGGAAGAGGACAGCACCAGAGCCTACTAGAGTGAAGAGTAAGGCAATATAGACTTTTCAGCACCCGCTAAACCTAGCAAGCATTTAAAGGTTGCAGTGTTGGGGGAGGGGAGGACACTGTTAGAGTTTTTTTACTCCATCCCAGAGATGGTCTTTAACCACTTTCCTGCCACCGTATAGCAGAAACACAGCTGCAGGGCTGCGAAAAATCACGTATATATACATGATTTTGCATTTCCGGGCCATTGGTGGCCTCAGCTGTTGATCAGCGGATCCCAGCCTATACATACACTTTAATGTTTGTACTAATACATATCAAGGATGCACCTCTCTCACATTCTAAAAACTTGTCTCACATAATAAAACTTGCAGTTGTATTTTATAGGCCAGGATTGTGTTTTTTTAACTCATAGGTTACTTGTGATTATCCTGCATAGAGAGATCAGTAGTCTCTCTTGTCATTTTCCCCATTATTGTCTTATAGGGAACTTCACATACAGCAGTTAATTGTCTTCTAGTTAAGATAGCCCATTAATACACCAGGCACCAGCTGCCATAAAGACTCATTATGAAAGCAGACAACACTTAACTGTGACCCAGTGACTTTGAGCATTCTTGGAGAGGTTCTGAAAATAGGTGTTTTTTTATTGTGACAATGTTTATGTCTTTTTCATTGCTGTGTATGCCTGGAATTTTCTCTGTTCTGTAACCAAATCCTAAATGCTCCAACTGCAGAATGCAACTTTAATAACAACAGATGGGTAGTGTCTGGACACATACAATTGCAGAGTCTATGCACAAGGACAAAGAGCAGCATCTTCAAAGATGCAGCCTAGTGCACAATGCTCAGATGCATATAAACGATGACCTACATTAATCTATATCACACACCTGTAGTGTCTGTACCCCAAGGGCAGGGATGGCAAATTTAAATGAAGCTGGACTGGGTGAAATTAAAGTATATTTAAAGTGAAAAACATTTCTTTAGTTTTGGAGTAAATATTGGTAAAACCCCTGAGAAGTTTTTTCTTCTGTTCTCATCTCATTGGGGAGATTTTCTGTCTCGAGATGCAACAGTAAGTGAAAGGAGCTCTCTGCAAAGCAATAGAAATCCTCTCTTAGGCAGTTCTCACTCTCACTGATACTGAAGTGTTCCTATTGGAAAATTCAGCCTCTATTCTTGCTCCAGTGACAACTCAAAAATTTATGATTACCCTTTCTGTCCTGTCACCGGTACTAGCCACCAGGACAAACAGAAAGAGTGAATGTCCTCACAGACAGCAATAAAACAAACCTGACAGCGATTTAAAACACCTCACCACTATATCCAGAACTAAAATAAAAAACATTTTTGTTTCAGATACACTTTAGCCCTGGTTCACACCAGTGTGACTGGTTGTGTGACTTGCAAGTTCACACACAAATCGCGTGACAATTTGCACCCCATTACTGGCAGTATAACCTTTTTTATCTATGAGACTCAAGTTGCGACTTAGAAAAAAGTTCCTCCACTATTTTTGTGCAACTTAATTGAGACTTGCATTGACATCTGCTGAATGAAATTGCAATCATTTCAACAAGTCGTAATGAAGTTGCACACTAATGTTTAACCTCAAGGTCGTATTGATGTGAACCAGGGTTTAATCTTCAAAGGGGTTGCCATTGGTCCACAGATGACTGGGGTGAACTGAATCAACATTATATAATCATGTCAAAATACATTTCTAAAATTATTCAACTGCCATATAATAGATGAAACCATAGTTTACATGAGCGCTAGAAGAGCACAAGGCATCCGGCATCATTCAGTTTAAATTCTCTGACTGATTAAAGACTCCAGAGAAGTGAGAATGCCTGCACTAAGGGAGCTTCCTACAGTGCTCAGTATAAATGAGTCCACCCCTTTTGAAAAGTAAGATTTTAATCAATATCTCAATGAACACAAAACAATGTACAACATTTTGACAAAACTGAGTTTTATAGAACATTTGTTTAGCTCATTACATGAAAGTAAGATTAATAATATAACAAAATCTTCAGTTTTATTCAAATTAGTTGATGCAAAAATGAATCCACCTCACAACAAAAACTATTCTATCTAGTATTTTGTATGACCTCCATGAATTTTAAGGACAGCACCAAGTCTTCTAGGCATAGAATAAACAAGTTGGCGACATATTGCAACATCTATCTTTTTCCATTCTTCAAGAACGATCTCTTTTAGAGCCTGGATGCTGGATGGAGAGTGATGCTCAACTTGTCTCTTCAGAATTCCCCATAGGTGTTCGATCGGATTCAGATCAGGAAATATACTTTGCCACTGAATAACTTTCACCCTGTTCTTCTTCAGAAATGCAACAGTGGCCTTAGATGTGTATTTGGGATCATTGTCATGTTGGAAAAGTGCACGACGACCAAGGGCAAGGAGCAGGGGCGGACTGACAACTCATGGGGCCCCCGGGCAATAGGGGATCATGGGGCCCCTGTGTCCTTGCCCAAACTCAAAAAAGCCTATGAAAAAGGTACCAGGGACATCTCATGGGGCCCCCTACTGACCCCGGGCACTCGGGCAGTGCCCAAGTTTCCAAATGGTCAGTCCGCCCCTGGCAAGGAGTAATAGTAGTATCTTCTCTTTCAATATAGAGCAGTACATCTGTGAATTCATGATATCATCAATGAAATGCAGCCCCCCCGACACCAGCAGCACTCATGCAGCCCCACAGAAGGACACTGCCTCCCATCTTTCACTGTAGGGACCATGCATTTTTTTTTTGGTACTCCTTACCTTTTGCGACGCTATACAGTTTTGAAGCCATCAGTACAGAGTCCCAGTAGCCTTCTTTTTCAGCATGGGCCCTGGAAAATTCTAGGTGGGCTTTTTGTGCATGGGCTTTAGGAGAAACTTCCTTTGTGGACAAACACCCATGCATGACATTCCACTGCAGTGTACACTGCATTGTGTCACAGGAAACAATCACCCCAGTGTGACTTTCTACTTCTTTAGCTAACTGCAGTGAACTTGCATGCTGATATTCTTTAGCCCTTCTTATTAGAAGACGCTCCTGTCGAGGTGTTAACTACAGCGTGGACCTCTCTGTGAAATGGTTGCAGTTCCATCTTTGTTAAATGTTTTTATCACTTTTGCTACAGTATTCTGACTCATAAGTAAAGCTTTGCTGATCATCTTGTAGCTGTCAACTTTCTTATTTAAATAAATTCTTTTCTTTCTCAGGCCTTGTTACATTTCTCTGCCATGTGGTGCCATTGCTGACAGCATGAGATGGGAAGGGTTTTGTTTGTTAAGTAACGCCCATTTATAATCAACTATCTGCTGGATGAATAATTAGACTCACCTGTATTTGAAATCTTGTTAATTAGGATTTTGTTGTCTAAAATTTAATTTTGTTTCTAAGACTTTCATTGGGGTGTATTCATTTTGCAACATGGTCTTGAATGAATTTGTTAGGAAAAATACTTTTTTTGTGTGTGCAAATTAACAAATCTTGTTTGCAATCAGTGGTCCACATTTGCAGGAGTATTTTTTAGTATAGTGTCCCATAGAAAAGTTTGATTCTGAAAGGAAAGTAAAGTTTTTCTGACAAATCTGCTGGGATGTACTCATTTACGCTGAGCACTGTATATGCCTAATTTTGCTACCTACATTAAACACAGAATAACATAAATTAAACATTTCTACAAATATTAAGTAGTACCAAAGCACAGTCCATTTAGTAATTGTTATTTATAATTTATGGATTTCTTTATGTACACCAATAGAGGAGTTTTTGACAAAAAAATTTTTGGTGTAGTTTAGAAAAATTATTGCTTCCTAGATGGCACATGGCAAACAACTATATACATAAATAAGTAATCATACAAACGCATAATAACACGTGAAACATAATAATGATGTATAGTGTGCTTTCATCACTGACAAATAGAGTGAAAGAACTCATTCAGAGGAGGAAACACGCCACAGAAGCAGCAATGCACACTTATAAACTGTTAAGTTTAACTGTCAGGTAATGAATTGAATTCTTGTAAACATTACCAACAAAGTGCACATTTTTAAAAAATCTAATTCAGCAGTGCTTTGCCAAAAACAGAACCATTTATATCAGATATCAGTCTCCGTCTTGCAGTCTACTGGTCTTATCATAGTCATATACACTCACGGGCCACTTGGTTAGGTTTACATTGCTTGTACCGGGTTGGACCCCCTTTTGCCTTCAGAACTGCCTTATTATTCGTGGCATAGATTCAACAAGGTGTTGGAAACATTTCTCAAAGATTTTGGTCCATATTGACATGATAGCATCATGCAGTTGCTGCAGATTTGTTGGCTGCACATCCATGAACCATTGATACAAGGCAGGATGGATCCATGCTTTCATGTTTTTTACACCAATTTCTGACCCTACCATCTGAATGTCACAGCTGAAATTGAGACATCTGACCAGGAAACGTTTTTTCCAATATTCTATTGTCCAATTTTGGTGAGCCTGTGCGAATTGTAGCCTCTGTTTCCTGTTCTTAGCTGACAGAAGTGCCACCCGCTGTGGTGTTTTGCTGCTGTAGTCCATCTGCTTCAAGGTTCGACATGTTGTGCATTCAGAGATGGTATTCTGCATACCTTGGTTATTTGAGTTACTGTTGCCTTTCTATAATCTCGAACCAGTCTGCGCATTCTCCTTTGATCTCTGACACCAACAAGGCATATTTCCATCTACACAACTACAGCTCACTGGATATTTTCTCTTTTGCGGACAATTCTCTGTAAAACCTAGAGATAGTTGTGTGTGAAAATCCCAGTAGATAGTTTTTGAATTACTCAGACCAGCCAGTCTGGCACCAAAAACCATGCCATGTTCAAAGTCACTTAAATCCCCTTTCATCCCCATTCTGGTGCTTGGTTTCAGCAAGTCTCCTTCACCACATCTAGATGCCTAAATACATTGTGTTGCTGCCATGTGATTGGCTGATTAGCAATTTGTGTTACCTAGCAATTGAACAGGTGTATCTAATAAAGTGGCCAGTGGGTGTAAACATGTATACACACCAGGGCCAATATGGGTAAAATCAATTAACCTAGCAATGTTTTTTTTTTTTATCTGCAAGAGAAATTACGAGTACCCAGTGAGCCCCAGTTCACATATTGCGGTGCAGGAAACGCAGCGAATCCTGTGCATTTTCCTGCACCGTATTGAAATTGCACCCCAATACAGGTTGCAAAACTCAGTGCAATTGCAAGAATCAGTTTGCATGGATATGAACACCCAATACGATCCGATTCCAGTGTGGCAAAAAAAAAAGATGCTCGTGCCTTTTTTGTGTGGGTGCGGTGTGATTTGAGCCCATACAAAATGAATGGTCTGAAATCGCACTGCAAAGAGTCACATGTAATTTGAATAGAAATGTGGTGCCAATCCTATCTGAATCACATATGGTGTCCTACACCGCACAAGTGTCAACCCAGGCTAAAAAACTATGTAAACATTGAGCGAATATACAAACGCCACACAGACAGTCTACTTTTTGCAATCAACATACAGATACGCAAAAGTGTAAAAATATGTGTCTCATCAAAATTTAGACTATCAGATCAACAAATTTTAACAATTTTACTAATTTAGCATGAGAAGCTACCCAACTAGGTATAATTTGAGAGAATTGTGTAGGTGGTTAGTGTTGTTGAATTATAAATAAATTTAGCGGTATATATAGCCATGTCTGACCACTGAGCATTTGAATTACATCATGGCTCCTAAAGAACAATTGAACTCTTTTCTTCTTAACACTTAAATAAATGCCTACCGATTTACAGATTACTGTCAAACTAGATGCCTAATTTCATAATAAAATTAAGTACAATTATCTTTCATAGCCATGCACATACTGTGCTACCAACAATAGCTGAAATTCTATCAAACGGAGCAGTCATTTGTTAGTAATATATGTGTTTGATCTACTACTTGCTGTATACAAGCTAAAAATACCCAAAACATTTTAATTACCAATACAAATAACATGTGGGTGTAGTGGAAACATTGTATGAACTGAACTTTGATATACATTTCAGTCGATGGATGGGGTTGTCATGTTAAAAAATAATAGGTGCTGGTACTGAGAGTCTCCAAAGAACTTCCAATAAATTCATTATTCCTTTGATGTAAGGTCTGAGCTGTGGATCAAGCAGTCACTCAGAAGGTAGCACTGCATGTGACAACATGTTTAGAGAAACAAAAAGGTTATGAGCCACTTATAACAAGCAAATAAAGTAAATGAGGACTCTACTAATATCAACCAGAGCCTACAACAGTTAGTGCAGAACATCTTTCATAGTGTGCTCTATGAATTGTGTAAGGACCGATCACAACAGGTATGTTGGGCTGTGCTGGGCAGCCTTACCAGCATAGTGCCAACACATGGACAAGTCAAATTGCCTCATGTCCCATTTGAGTCAGTGGTACTCTAGATGTGCATAGACAAAGAGGGATACAAAGTCACCAGAGAGATCCTTCTAAGAGTAAAATTCAGTTGTACCTATGTGAAGAGTATGGCAAAAACTGCATACTCACATAAATAAGGTTGCTGGATACCCATCTAGAGTCAAAAACCTATTTTGACTGTCTCAGTTGCACTTGATGCTCAACTGAGTTTTATCTGGGAATTCTTGCACTGCATTAGGTTGTGATCAGATCCGATGAACAATGGTAAAAAGGATGAGGCCGCAAAATGGGACCAATGTGTGATCAACAGAGGCGCCCATTAAAATAAAAGGTTCTTCAAATTGGATATAGTATAGTCTGGGCTACTGTACTGTACACAATTCCTGATGAAGTGGCCATTAAAGATCAACAGAGGCGCCCATTAAAATAAAAGGTGCTTCAAATTGGATATAGTATAGTCTGGGCTACTGCACTGTACACCTTTTCCTGATGAAGTGGCCATTAAAGATCCACGAAACGCATTGATGGTGTATATACCCTAAAAAACCGAGCGCACACATGCGGCATGTGGGCCTTAACGCTGAGCAAACCGCATATTTGTGTACCGTTTGAAAATACATATGTGCTGAGAGCGTGTGCCTTGCACGCTCCCAGCACATGTGACCACTGGGACAGTGAATCATGGCAGTCACATGACCCTAAAACCCCGCCCCGACTCCCGGCTTCTGAAACCTCTTAAAGGGCCGGGAGGCGCCGGTGCAAAGGGGTTAAATTTGATTTTATGATCAATAAATACTAACCTTCCCGAATAATCCATTTGGAAGCGCCTTTTTATTTAATGGGCACCTCTACTGGCCAATACATCTGCATTAGTCAGAATTTCTAAAGTGAGCAAAAAAAAAATATATCTTGATCTCAGATAATTTAATTGCACCACTTGGAGACTGTTACATTAAGATAACATTAGAAAAGTGCAAGTGTATCTAAAGCTAATTTTTTTAATATATATATTTCAGGTTTATATTAGCCCTGCTATCAGGTTATTTTTAGGGATTTGATTTACCCTTTCTGTTTGGTGATCATTGTCTCAGTACTGAAAGTTAGCAAGAATCCAACATTTTGTGTGGTCACTAAAACAGAAACAGAGGGGTGGTTTCAAATAGGGACATTTACTGCGCTGACAAAGGTCTAAGAGATGGTTTACTTGATTTATTCACAGTCATTTTGTGATTTAGGGGTGCTGAACCTTATGGTCATATGCTATATCATGATGGGTGATGTGCCTTCCCAGAGGCTGATCACCAGCAGCCGTGGTGTCCTGCTGGATCCTCCAAAGGGTTTACTGAAGTGTAAAAAGGATGAACTTACCACACTAGATTGTACAGTACTTTAAAAATATTTTATTTTTCAACAGCCAATGTGTTTCAGGGGCTCAACAATCCGCCTTCATCAGGGCTAAAAAAATTGATCATGAAGATGCCTAGATGGATTTGTTCGCAGGAAAGAAAGTAAATGGAAATATCCCCAATGTGTCAGAGATGACAAAAAATGGAAATGTTTTCCTTTAGATATACTTTAACATCTTAAAAAAGAAAAACATTTTTTCTGCCTTTTTTTCCGAATTCTATGTTTACTCAATAGACCAAAAGCCACCTGAAATCCTCTAGAACATCTAATTTTATTTTTGTATGCATTACAAAAGCATTATAAACATGCAGATGCTTGAAGAGTCTATTCTTTCTGTATTTTGCATTATCCATTGTATTTCTATCTTATATAAAAACCTATACAGCTGGTACTGCTCACTTCCATCAAAAAATGCATGTTGCTTGGCTGTCTGTGGCTTCAGTACTTTGTGTAACTACTCATAATGCAATCAAAGCCAGAACAAAGTCAGAATTCCTGATCTTTATACTTGTTCAAGGTCAAGTATTGAAACCAGACTGCCAAGTATTGAAACCAGGGCCAATCACTTGCATGTGATCGCTGTATGAGCGATTACATGTGAGTGGGCGTGATTAGGTGCGAGAGCCAGCATCCTCCCATTGCTTTCAATGGGGCTGCTTACTCGCAGCTAATCTCCTGAACCCCCACGGGGTTCTTACAGCTGCTTACAGACAGAATGCATTCACAAGTGTAAATTTGGAACTGTAAATGCACCCTAAGACTGAAACAAAATAGCAAACTTTCAGGAGCACAGGAAGACATAGAAGGGCAGCATGGCAGCCAGTATATGAATATTTCAAAAGCACATAAGCACAGAACATATTGTCAACGAGATCATAGTATCGGTCCTGGGTAATCTGCTAAAGATCACAAAGAACTGCTAAAGGTACAACAGGTGTGAACATTGCTTGCGACAATTAAACTGTGTATGATTTACCAATAGAGTTTCTACATATTAGAAAACATTTCAGGTTGATTTTTAGTTGCTGTCTTTTCTCTAAAGAAAAGAGCCTTTTTACTGCACATTTGCTATAGTCAAATGGCAGCCAAGATGAAGACAGCAAAAAATCAATGGTCATGAGAAGGAATATTTTTCATTTACTATTGTTTGTAGTCTGTTTTTATAGGATAATTTTAGTAACAAAATTGGGTACAGGAGGAACCTTGTGTATAAATTAGTTGATGAACTAAATAGGTAAACAAACAAATAAGTGCAGCGCCTTCCAATTACCAAAAAAGTAATCATTAATAGATACACAATGCAAAGAAATCTTGTGCACAATAGTGAGTATATAAAGCCCCATATATCTTGATGTAACTTTAATCTTTCAATATTCTTTCTTCATACGACATAAAACAGTGTTCCTCCACCAACACCCAAGTTGTGCTCTCACCTGGAGCTTTTTGACCTCACATTATACAATGTTTTGGTCACACCACGTTTGTGTCCTCTAAATGGGACAAAATAAGATGCAGGTTTCCATGTCGGCACTCCTTCCCACAACGGGCTTTGAATCTTGTCCTCCTTCTCCTCCTCTCCCAAGCGATCGGTAAAAAAATGGAATAGGCAAAAATAGTGCTTTATCATTTAAACACTTTATTAAAATAGATAAAAAAATGCCACTCACATACTTTTCGTGCTATATCACACAAGATATATACTACATAACAGCAATAATACACTTCCTCCATTATACTCTGACTCCGCATTACGTCTTGGTGTCAGCTGGCCCCTCCCCTACGCGTTACGCCACAGGTCCCGTGGCTTTATATATAAACTAAATAGGTAACTTGGGGTTAGGGTTATACTTTAAAGATATAGGTAACTATTTTCTTTATCTTTTACAGTAAATCACAAAGAGCTAGTCAGTCAGCAGCTGTAAATCTACTTATAGACTAGTAATCAATAACCACGTTACTTTATTGTATATCTGATATTTTTGACAATCAGATTATTTATGAGGGAAAAAAAACATGCATTGATTATTCACATATACAGTATACGACTAACGTTTTTAGGGCATGCTCCCAGTAGTATATTATGATGATGCAAGCAAATTCAATGTGTGGTATCCACACGTTAACATGCCTAGCATTAAGCAGCCTGTTTATTTTAAATGGGCTGCTAATGCACCATATTGCACTAAAAGCCTGACATGCACCAATTTGGTTAACATCTTTGCTTTTTAGGCTTCATGTACACTAAAGCTAATAAACTCAGGTTTAGGAGCTTTTCTGTGTTTTTTTCAGCAGCCCCTGAACTCTCCCTAATGTTTTCCTATGTGTCCATGTACACTATGTTGTTTACAGTCGTTTACAGGCAGTTGAGTTTACAGTACCGTATTTTCCGGCGTATAAGATGACTTTTCAACCCGTGAAAATCTTTTGAAAAGTCGGGGGTCGTCTTATACGCCGGTATACGGCGAGCCGGTGTCAGGGCGGCACTTTTTCGAGGGGCGGCGCCGTCCCCCTCCTCCTCCAACGGACACCAAGTACAGGGGTGGGCAGAGGGGCTGCTGTACCTTACCTGGCTCCGGTCCCGGTCCCACGACGATCCGGTCCAGGGAGCGCGGCTGCTCCTTCTTTCAGTTCGGGCCGCTCAATGGTCCCGCCGCCCGCTCGGCTCCGCCTCCTCACCGGTGATTGGGCGCCAGCACTGGAAAGGCACACAGGCGACCAATCACCGGCGAGGAGGCGGAGCCAAACCGCCCCACGAAAATCAAGCGGCCGAACTGAAAGAAGGAGCAGCCGCTCCTCTCCCCCACTGACACTAACGATGGGGCACTATTTCTCCTCCACACTGACACCAACGATGAGGTACTGTTCCTCCCCCACTGACACCAACGATGGGGCACTATTCCTCCTCCCCACTGACACCAACGATGGGGCACTATTCCTCCCCCCACTGACACCAACGATGGGGCACTATTCCTCCCCCACTGACACCTATGATGGGGCACTTTTCTCCCCACTGATACCAATGATGGGGCACTATTCCTCCCCCACTGACACCAATGATGGGGCACTATTCCTCCCCCACTGACACCAACGATGGGGCACTATTCCTCCTCCCCACTGACACCAATGATGGGGCACTATTCCTCCCACTGATACCAATGATGGGGCGTGTTGGAAGAGGGGGGTAGTCTTATACGGCGAGTATAGCTCAAACTCTATATTTTAACAGGAAAAGTAGGGGGTCGTCTTATACGCCCAGTCGTCTTATACGCCGGCAAATACGGTAGTTTTTTTGAACGCACCAAACTTACGTTCAGTAGTTTTTATCAAAGTTTCAAACGCCAAGTAACTTTTTTTTTTAACTCTTCCATTTCCAGATGCTGTCCAGAGCCTTTTTTCATCATGAAAAATGCATGCAAAGCGTTTTCCCCGGTACTCAAATGGACCTGGTACACCATAGTTTGAGGTTTCTCATGAAAGAAAATATGTTAGACACTGCTGCTATAATTTCTGCACAGAAATGAGCTGGAACACATCCAAACACCACAAAAAACAAAAAGACAGCTAATCTCAACAAATACTGCTCTCTCTGCTTCTGCTCTCTCTATTTCTCTCAAAATGTCTGAAATAGTTAATTTTTTACTGTTTTTCAGTGCATTCTTGGCATTTTGGAAGGTTTCCTGAGGTTATCTTTAAAAAACACTTCTAAACGCAAACACTCATAAACGTGCATAAATGCGGTATGCAAACGCAGCTAAACAGACGTTTTTTAACTTACGTTTTCCAGCAGTCAGTTTCCATCGTTCAGAAGTGTCCCGTGTACATGGAGCCTTATTGTGCTATTCAACTGCCTGCAGTGCATTGGGTCAGTGTTAGTGGGTGCCATTGAATATAAAATGCATTACATGACACTGTAAGGATGATTTGCTAAAACTGGAGAGTGCAAAATCTGGGGCTGCTGTGCATGGTAGCCAATCAGCTTCTATCTTCAGCTTGTTCATTTAAGCTTTGAAAATAAGACCTGGAGGCTGATTGGTTTCTCTGCAGAGCTGCACCAGATTTTGCATTCTCCAGCTTTAATAAATCGACTTTTGTTTCATGCAGCACCTTGCATTGCAAATATCATACGTTAATAAATATTGTATTAAGATATGATATAAATGCACATACACAAGTGGAAATTAGATAAACATTCTCCAGCTCAAGGAAATTGATTTTGGTCACTATTAAAATGTACAGTCATTCTGAACTCTCAAAATAGAAATTTTGTCTAAGAGTAGGCTCCACAAGGAGCCCTCTATTAGCTCTTCCAAGAAAGAGAATGGGTACATTTAATTACTAAAAGCTTGATTTGTGGATACGGAACTATGCCACGAACACTACTCCTTATCCAATCAGAGTTCTTTAATTGGGAACTTAGGTGCACTCGCTGCAAGATATCCTTACTATTGATGCTTCAAGGTGAGACATGACTATGGTAGTTACTCAACCTGAGGGTTTCATATGAAGGTAACGTTGTTTAAAGCACATGGTCATTATTTTATATTCATTATTTACTTATATATCAAAAAAGTAAAAAAAAATTGCACAGATTTGAAGATCTTATATTTGGATTTTATACAATTTTGGGATCAGTCAGGTAACACTCTACTGCAAACTTATTGCCTAATTACAGTAACTAAAGGAAGTGGGTGATTTTCTACAGTCCATCCATTTCATCTGATGCTAAATTTCTAAAGTCCAGAGACTCTAAAGCAAGCAGAATGCTATTCAAATGAGTTAAAGGAGAAGTACAACCAAAGTTCTTTTGGCTGTACTTCTGTGGATCACAGGAGTGCAGTTTATTCTGCAGTCCTGTGACCTGTTTTCAGCTGACAGCGGGCTGAAGCCCACTGTCGGCTGACATCACTCAGCTGGTCCAAGCTGGAGAAAGATCCCAACTTTAAGATCAGGATCCACCCTAGAGCCTGGAGCAGCACCTGGCACAGCCTGTCAGCGATCTGCTGAGAGTCTGAGCCACCCACTTCCGCTCCCTCCACAGTCCAGCGCTTCAGTGAGTATGGGGGAAACAGAGCAGACAGTGGTGACTGACAATCACAGCTCTATGTTCAGAGCGGTTGTGAGATTGCTGAGTTCTCACCCTTAGAGCCGGTGGGGGGGGACAGACGCAGCATAGGATCGATGCTGCATCCACTTATGACTCAGTATGATTTTTAAGGAAAAAAAAAAACTGGGGGACACCATAGGCTTTACACCAGTGCCTACCTCGTCTGAATAGGACATAAAATGCAGACTGCAGTATGAAGTAACGTTCTGGTGTCCAACAGATAATGGATTCTGCTGCTCAGTTATTTTATAATTAGTCCCCTTGTCCTTTTGAGCCAGATCTAATCCATAGACAGTCAGTAGACTGAAGCATAGCCATTGTGCAGTACTAATAGGGTGTAAGACATCAGCAATATTGGGGCAAGTAGTAGCAGGAACAGAATCTCATTGGCAAAACAAAAAAAAAAATCAATGAAAGGTAAGGCCTCATGCACATTGCAGCTGAAAAAATACCTGTTTTACAGGCATTTGACATTGTTTTTTTCTGCCTCTAAATGCCTCTATGTAGCCTATGTGTTCATGCACACATAGGTGTTTACAGGCATTTAGAGGTAGGGGCATTTAGTGGTATGAAGGTGGGGGTGCAGCATGGTGTGATGGCAATAACATACACAGTCTAAGTGTGATATAAAGAACCAAGCACCACCTGCAGAGGAGAACGCAATTTGAACCTGCCTACCGGCAGAAAAAAATCCCCCCGCTGCAGCGTTTTGGAAGAAAAACTGCCCAACACACCTAAAAACATGTGTAAACTTGCTTAAGCACTAGGCGCTTCAAGTGCTTGCGCATTCATTAATTTCAATGGCCAGAATAAATTCATGAATAAATTCATATTTTGGCCACTGAAATGAATGAAACACCCAAGCGCTTGATACGCCTAAATGCATTTAAGTGCATTTTTGACACTGCTTTTCTCCTGGCATTTAGAAGAGCTGGGCAAATGCTTAGTGTGCATGGGGATTAAACGTCCTAGCTTTTGCAGTGACTTGTAACAATTGTTGGGCAATTGACGTTTAGCAGTGTTTGAAGATCACTAAATAAAACTAATTCCCAAGCTTCTCAGTCAGAATAGCAAATACACCTGCATAGGCAACCACATTTGCTAACTACAAAGCCTCAGAGAAATAGTAAAAAAGATTCACGACTGCTTCTAATCTCATCTAGAACTGATAATGTGACATGACCTTACCCAGAAAGCACAGAATGAATAGGTAGTAAGCCAATAAGGCTAGTGTATGAATATATTTAAGTACTTCAGAGAGAAACACAATATTACCATATTACTCCATTCAAAAAAAAAAAAGAATAGCCCAATAAAAGATGATCAGCTTTTGTGGCAATACTCAATCTGTAGTTCAGTTCAGTACTTACTATCTGTCACGAGATGTTCTTAGTTAAAGTATATTAAAGGATAATTTTTGTGTTAAAATAAAAAAGATGTTATACTTACCTTCTCTGCGCAATGATATTGCACAGAGCGGTTGTTACCTCCTTTTAGGAAGTCCCCCACCAGCGCTTTCCATGGAGGCACCCATGCATGCCCACCCCTGCTAGTAAGCCACACCCCTGCTCCCTCCTCGCAGGAGTTTGACTGACAGCGGCAGGAGCCAATGGCAGTGTTTCCTGTGAGACCAGGATGTGTGAGGAGTGGTGCTGCACCTGGGACAGTGCTGGAGTGGTGAGAGGAGTCAGGTATGTGTTTAGGGATGGGGGGGGGGTGGACAGAACAGGTAGTGGGGGCACTTTTACCTTAATGTAGGGAACGCAATAAGGCTTAAATACGTTTTAACTTCAGAACTACTTTAACAAGGAGAAATGATAGCCAGAGTTATTCATCCCATTTCCTCCAAGCTCTGGATGTCATGATCCAGCCTCCAGCATGTAACTGGACAGAAGGAGAGTGGTGTAGTGATGAGCTTATCTCTCTGGCACTCTGCTCTCTCCTATGTGTCTTTTATATCTGACTGGAGTTCAGCTTTAAATTAACCCAACCCTCAACCAATGGTATAAATATATCCACCAAAAAACTTTAATTTCCATTTCCTTTCAGCCTCCACTCGCATCACTAGTCTACTAAGTGACATGTCGGCTTGGATGTCACTCCACTTCCTCAAACTCAATCTTTCCAAAACTGAGCTCTTAGTATTACCCCCAGCCCGTGCCCCCTCCACTGACTTCACCATAAATATCGATAACACAATCCTCAGTCCATCCCCTCATGCCAGGGTACTAGGTATAATCCTAGACTCCCATCTGTCCTTCCAGCCCCAGACCCAATTGCTGACAAAATCATGTAGACTTCACCTCCGCAACATCTCCAAGATTCGACCGTTCCTAACCCCGGAAACCACTAAGCAACTTATTCACTCCCTTGTCATATCACGCCTCGACTATTGTAACTCCCTCCTCATTGGCCTACTTCATCGCAGGCTATCCCCACTCCAGTCTATCATGAACGCTGCTTCCAGACTCATCCACCTCACTAACCGTTCTGTATCTGCCACCCCTCTCTGCCAATCCCTCCACTGGCTCCCAGTTGCCCAACGGATAAAATTCAAAACACTAACAATGACATATAAAACCGTCCACAACACTGCCCCAATTTACATAACCGATCTTATCTCTAAATATCACCCAAACCGTAATCTACGCTCCTCGCAAGACCTCCTACTCTCTAGCTCCCTTATCTCCTCCTTCCCATCCTCATCTCCACGACTTCTCCATGGCTTCCCCCATCCTCTGGAACTCCCTACCCCAATCTATCAGACTATCGCCTACTCTACTTACTTTTAGGCGATCACTGAAAACCTATCTCTTCAGGGAAGCCTATCCCGCCCTCTGCTAATACTGGATTCTTCTACTCTTCCAACCACTCCATCCCCCACAGTTATTACCTATTGTACCATTAACCCCTCCCTCCTAGATTGTAAGCTCCAAGGAGCAGGGCCCTCAAATCCCTCT